AAAAAAAACACAAAAAACGATACTGATTTGAGAAAAACCGGCTCTTGGGACAAACGTGTGAACGTGGTACGCCTGGGTAAAGAGATTTAAGTGGGTAAGTCACTATACCTGTGATTTTGAAGCAATCGTGCAGAAAATATTTTTCTAAAACTGTGGGGAAGGGGGGGGGGGGCGCAATGTTTAAATTTCTTCTACATTTAACTGGAAGCCTTTGGCTGCGTAGAGTATCTTAAAGCCCTTCTGCACACACATTCTTTGCGAAATGAATTTTAAGAAAAGTATTTTCTACTTAATAGTTCGCTTAGTCTTCAAAAGCAAGTTTTTACAAATAAAAAAGAATACCTTTTGATAACTTTTTAAACACACATAATACAACTCGGTGGAGTTTGAATGAATGACTCCACTTTGTGTCGTTTCAGTGTTTCTACATCCTGTGTAATGATTCCCCTTGTGTCGTTTCAGTGTTTCCACATCCTGTGTAATGATTCCGCTTGTGTCGTTTCAGTGTTTCTATATCCTGTGTAATGATTCCCCTTGTGTCGTTTCAGTGTTTCTACATCCTGTGTAATGATTCCCCTTTGTCGTTTCAGTGCGTCTACATCCTGTGTAATGATTCGCCTTGTGTCGTTTCAGTGCTTCTACATCCTGTGTAATGATTCCCCTTTGTCGTTTCAGTGCTTCTACATCCTGTGTAATGATTCCCCTTTGTCGTTTCAGTGCTTCTACATCCTGTGCACCTTCATGGTGGAGATCAACGCCGCGTCCAACTTCCTTCTCTACTGTTTCTTCGGGAAAAAGTTCCGCATGATGCTGCTGAACATCCTCGGCCTCAAGAGGAAGAAACATCACGTGGCCTACAGGAGCACCGTCTGCAAGTCACGGACCAACGGGACCAGGATATACGAGATGGAGGTGTCCGTCATGTGACGCTGTCGTCGTCGTGTCGGTGGTAGATGTGTGATTCAAATAGGAGCATGAGAAACACACTCATCCATTCACGAAGACCTCGAGAACTGACTAGTGCTTGAGATAAAGCGTCATGTCTAGCGACTGCCTCCCGATGGCGCTGTCTGCGAGGTCACGTTTCTATTCCGCAGACCCTTCTCAATAGTCCCGTGCCAGGTTTTTGCGGGTCTTCCTCGGATCTGTTTTTTGTCGCTGCCCTGTGATTGAGTTAGTTGGTGGCATTCTACAGACGTGACCAAGCCATCTACGGCTGCTCGCCCGTCCGATTCCTGCGATGAAAATTGATTTCGATGGGAGTCTAAGCGATTCACTGTGAACACATGGAAACAGAATTTTTTAGGGTATTGAATAGGAACAGACGGTGTTTGTTAGAGATGACAAACGATCCGGATATTGTGACTGGAATGCGATTTATGTGAAGTACCATTGATATAAAGTATATCTTATCTGAAGTGTCGTTCGTGTAAAACAGCGATGGATCGAAATCGCCAATTGATAACCAATCAACATTTACGTGGTCTTCAGAAATGGTAACATGAAATAAGAGGACAAAGGTGTCTAAATATTCTCATTTAGACGGATGGTCAACTTCAATAGTCTCATGGGTACTCTTAGAATGTTTAGAATCTGTATCCCGCAGCTTATGGCGTCGTGCTGAAGACGCTGTCCACTGAAGCAGTAAAGGTCATCGATTGATATAACATCAGGCCCACGATACCTCTCTACGTTCTTCAAGGCGCCTACAAACGAAACCACTTTTTCTTCGTGGCCTCACCTTTTGATGCATCGCGTTTCACACCACATGAAGACAAACGGCTGCAACATCTTGTACAACCCATGGTCAGACTGACAGCTTTGTTTGTCATGTACAACCCATGGTCAGACTGACAGCTTTGTCTGTGGTCTACAATCCATGGCCAGACTGAAGGCTTTGTCTTGTACAATCCATGACCATACTGACGACTTTGAAATGTACAACCATGGCCATACTAACGACTTTGTCTTGTAGAATACATGGCCAGACCGATTGATAGCTCGTGTACAATCCATACTGACAACATTTTACTTGTACAATCCTTGGTCAGACTGACAACTTTGTCTTGTACAATCCATCGACAGACTGACAATTGTATCTGTCGTATACAATCCATCGTCGGACTGACAAGATTGTCTTGTAAAATCCATGGCCCGATTGACGATTGTGCCCGATACTATCCATGGTCATACTGAAGACTCTTGTCTTGTCCAGTCCGTGGCCAGACTGACGACCGGTTCGACAGGATATGGCCCGATAGCCCGACCGTTTGATCGGGTCCCCAGGAGACAGGAAACATAAACAGTCACTTAAAGGATCCTCAGATAAATCTTTCCTCACAAGAGTGACGCAAACTTCTTGGAGGCGCAATAACACCCCCCCCCCCTTTTTTTTCTTCCTCTTGGTGTGTTACTAAGAATTTGTACTTTAAGAAATATGTACTTTTACAAACGTGTACTTTCAAGAAATGTGGAGCTCAGTTAAAAGAGTTTTTTTTAGAGCTCAGTTAAAAGAGTTTTATTTAGAGCTCAGTTAAAAGAGTTTTATTTAGAGCTCAGTTAAAAGAGTTTTTTTTAGAGCTCAGTTAAAAGAGTTTTATTTAGAGCTCAGTTAAAAGAGTTTTATTTAGAGCTCAGTTAAAAGAGTTTTATTTAGAGCTCAGTTAAGAGAGTTTTTTTAGAGCTCAGTTAAAAGAGTTTGATTTAGAGCTCAGTTAAAAGAGTTTTTTTTAAGACCTCAGTTAAAAGAGTTTTATTTAGAGCTCAGTTAAAAGAGTTTTATTTAGAGCTCAGTTAAAAGAGTTTTATTTAGAGCTCAGTTAAAAGAGTTTTATTTAGAGCTCAGTTAAAAGAGTTTTATTTAGAGCTCAGTTAAGAGTTTTATTTAGAGCTCAGTTAAGAGAGTTTTTTTAGAGCTCAGTTAAAAGAGTTTGATTTAGAGCTCAGTTAAAAGAGTTTTTTTTAGAGCTCAGTTAAAAGAGTTTGATTTAGAGCTCAGTTAAAAGAGTTTTATTTAGAGCTCAGTTAAAAGAGTTTTATTTAGAGCTCAGTTAAGAGAGTTTTTTTAGAGCTCAGTTAAAAGAGTTTGATTTAGAGCTCAGTTAAAAGAGTTTTTTTTTAGACCTCAGTTAAAAGAGTTTTATTTAGAGCTCAGTTAAAAGAGTTTTATTTAGAGCTCAGTTAAAAGAGTTTTATTTAGAGCTCAGTTAAAAGAGTTTTATTTAGAGCTCAGTTAATAGAGTTTTATTTAGAGCTCAGTTAAAAGAGTTTATTTAGAGCTCAGTTAAAAGAGTTTTATTTAGAGCTCAGTTAAGAGTTTTATTTAGAGCTCAGTTAAGAGTTTTATTTAGAGCTCAGTTAAAAGAGTTTTATTTAGAGCTCAGTTAAAAGAGTTTTATTTAGAGCTCAGTTAAAAGAGTTTTATTTAGAGCTCAGTTAAGAGAGTTTTTTTAGAGCTCAGTTAAAAGAGTTTGATTTAGAGCTCAGTTAAAAGAGTTTTTTTTAGAGCTCAGTTAAAAGAGTTTGATTTAGAGCTCAGTTAAAAGAGTTTTATTTAGAGCTCAGTTAAAAGAGTTTTATTTAGAGCTCAGTTAAGAGAGTTTTTTTAGAGCTCAGTTAAAAGAGTTTGATTTAGAGCTCAGTTAAAAGAGTTTTTTTTAGAGCTCAGTTAAAAGAGTTTTATTTAGAGCTCAGTTAAAAGAGTTTTATTTAGAGCTCAGTTAAAAGAGTTTTATTTAGAGCTCAGTTAAAAGAGTTTTATTTAGAGCTCAGTTAAAAGAGTTTTATTTAGAGCTCAGTTAAAAGAGGTTTTTTTAGCCTCTTTCTGCGATCGTAAGTGAGTATCTTTACAAACTCAATCAAAAATTACTTCGGAACAACAAAAAAAATTTTTTTTTTAAATACAAAAATGATTGAAATGTTCACCATTAGGATAAAAAAAAATTATGAAACGAGATGTTTAATTTCTGTTTCTCTGGAGGGGAGGGGTTGGGTGGGACAAGGGAGGGACAGAGGACAAACAGCCAGGCCAGTGAGTAAGATTTTGTAACGGCGCAGTCTGGTGAGGCGCCGGACTTCTTTTACCGACTTAACATTTCCTTAAAAAAAAAAAAACGGGACGGTTTTTGGTGGCGTGTGGAGATGAGCTGACGGGACCACACGCCACAATCGAGGGGAGACCGCCTGGGGTGCACCCGGTCTCACACAGCTTGACCAAACACCGGTCCCTTGTTGATTGATACATTCTGTTGTTGTTGAAATGATGCATTCGTGAAATTCTCCTATCAACTTATAACGTTGTTGTTTACGCCGCAGCGAAGTACGACATCATGATGTTTCAACATGTTTGCTTAATGTTAACTGTTTCATGTTCTTTGCGACGTCAAGGGTTGTTACTCACGAGTTGAACAATGTTAGTGAAATCTGTATGCGTGGTGGTTTTTTGTTGTTTTTCGTTGTAGCTGTTGACTTAAAACGGATGTGGTTCGTTGGATCAAGGTGTTGTGAAGGTGCCCCGTGTGGTGGCCACGAAAGGTTTGCCAAGGTTTCACGATCGTCAAAGATTTCGTCCGACGCTTCCATGTCATCTTTCCAACATCTTGAAATTGTTTTGATGCGACTGTTCTTAATGCTAAACAAGAACTACAACGTCATTGTCAACGTTTAAAAAATAGATTAATCAAGACGATTTTCAAGGACTGCCACTGGATTAGGTTTTTTTAAGTTATCAATAATTGAAACCGACCTACTCTCTACGTTACACCGTTTAATTGAATATCGTGTGATCCAATGCAAGGATTGAGTGGGCGTATGTAGACAATGTAGGGGACCATGGGAACGATTTCTAAGGCGAATGTTGACAATATAGGGTACAAGATAAAGGATTGAGAAAACGGATGTAGACAATATAAAGGACAAGATGAAGGGCTGTGAAGATTTCTTGAAAGACAAATACAGGTCACATTTTGCAGGGCATTACTTTACAAAGTAGTATAACTGGCCCACGAGCATCCAAGCTAATTGGAGTCGTTCCATGGTTTTTCAGGTGGGAAAAAATACTTTTAATCCCGAACTATTCCATTATGGCAAAGAAGCCCCCAAGGTTCATTGTGTGTGTGAGCCCCCAGGGCGCCGTTAAAGTGCTGCCCCATTGCTGAATCGTTTAAAAAAGAAATCATCTTTCTGATGATAGCCTCATGTAAGCTTGAACACGGTGTGTGATTAGGGCAGTTTACCCCTAACTAGGCTACGATGAGGGATTAGGGCAGTTTACTCTTAACTAGGCTACGATGAGGGATTAGGGCAGTTTGCTCTTAACTAGGCTACGATGAGGGACTAGGGCATTTTACTCCTAACTAGGCTACGATGAGGGGATTAGGGCAGTTTACCCCTAACTAGGCTACGATGAGGGATTATGGCAGTTTACCCCTAACTAGGCTACGATGAGGGATTAGGGCAGTTTATTTATTTATTTATTTAGGCATTTTTTATATAGCGCTTACCTTAAAGCTCTGAGCGCTTTACAATTATTAAAAACATGTAAACTAAGTAAAATAAAAAATGAGACACTAGGATAGTAACTACTATACCATAGAAACAATTAAAATGGCTATAAAACGAGGACACTTTGGCACGTTTTGGCCTATAATACAGGATGAACCCGAGACAGAAAATGAGGCAGGGCAAGGAGGGTGCATCACAGATCATAGGCGGACCTAAACAGATGGGTTTTAAGGGACTTTCTAAAAGTGGACGAGGTTTCACAATGACGGATATGGAAGGGGAGCTACAATGTGGGATAAGGGTAGTTTACTCCTAACTAGGCTACGATGAGGGATTAGGGCAGTTTACCCCTAACTAGGCTACAATGTGGGATTAGGGCAGTTTACCCCTAACTAGGCTACGATGAGGGATTAGGGCAGTTTACT